CTGATTATAGAGATATCTTCACATACTGTCTATATTCTCTCTCTTCGATAGTCACTTATTTGCAAGTGTATGAGAGGTGTCAGCTTCTCTCTTCAGAGAGATATCTTCTTATGATCAATTTTCTCATATGCAAGATGAATTAGAGTTAGTTATATCTGCAATTCAATTAAAATTGCTCTATATCTGATTTAATTAATCATTTAATCATTTAAAATAGATACTCATTCTGAAGAAATAAATACTTTCCGCTACTTTTCAATCTCTTGAAAAATAAATATTATTCTGAATACTGAAGAGAACTCACTGAAGTAATTCTTGTAAAATTTAATAGAAAAACTTCAATTTCTAAGTTATACAGAGTAATATTTCTATTTCACTGTGTGAAAAAATGTTCTAGAACAGATAATAAATATTAGATTATATTTTATAAGCTTTATTAGTATTTGACTGATGTATAATAAATAAATAAGAGATAGAAGAAAATGTTCTGCTATTAACACTGTTTTTTCAGTTATTCATAATATTTAAATAGTAAACAATGCAGGTCTGATCTTCACTATAGTTATTATTAAAATAAAAGATGCATTTGATCATGTTTCAAAGTCAAACATGATTCAAACATTGAAGATGTTAAAATTGTCAGTTTTCTCTAATATAAGTTAATTATTTCATATCTAAAAGAATTATATAATTATTTTTTGATGAAATGAAACAAGAAAAAACTGAGATATAAATAGATGTATGATCAAGATCTTCAATCTCACCTATTTTATTTCCAATATACACTGCATATTTATTCAAGAATAGAGAGATACAAAGAGTAAGATCTTCAAGTTTTATACATAATATTAATCTGATCTACAGTTCAAAAACAATTACAGAGAATGTAAAAGTGCTTGAAAAAGTGATAAAAGAAATCTTTCTGAGAGCAGATATTAATTAAAATCAATTTAATAGAGATAAAACTGAGTTAATTCACTTTTGTCCAAGATTCAATGAGAAAAAACTAAGTCTAACTATTTTGAACACAGAGATTAAATTTAGTTTGAATGTTAAATAGCTGAGACTATAATTAAAGTCTAAGTTAAATTTCAAATATCATATTTAACAAAGAACTATTAATGCAGAAAGACTATTGAATAACATAATTAGACTATTAAATATAGAGAGAGATCTATTCTTCCAGGCTATGAGACAGTTATATATAGCCTGTATCATCTCAGTAGCTAATTATGAAGTTCAAGTTTAATGAATAATGAAAGAAATTTGACTGAACTCTTTCAAACTCTGTAAAACAGAGCTTTAAGAACAATGCTAGAAGCATTCAAATCATCTATTAAAATAATAGAAATTGAAGTATCAATTTCTTCACCTGCTATTAGATTTAAAAAGCCCTCTATGACCTATGCTCTGAGAGTGATAAAAATGAGCTTAAATTATATAATCAGAGAAAGAGTTTCTTCTTCTTTTTCATTAATTAACTCAGAAAATAAACTGAATTGAAGTAGATATCTTGATTGAAATGTAAAAATTCTTTTGAAGAAAATACTCTCTCAACTATACAGGCTGTGTTCAATGCTTAAAAATCAATTTTTCTTCTTAAATGTTGAAAAAATTGCACATGAAAGAATATCTCTCTAAAGAGAAAAGTTAAAAGCTCTTATAGATTTATAAATAAGTGAACTATCTAAAGAGAAAGAATATAAACAGCATTTAAAAAAATTTCTGCCATCAAGATTAATTACTCAAGTCTGATTTATTCAGATGACTTGAAAAATGAGAATTTAAATAAACTAGATACAGATATTAC